AGACAGTAAAATAAACCAAACAGGAGCTTTATTTGCGTTAAATGTTTCAGTGCACTGGTTACTGACTGAATTTAAGCACAGCTCCGCCTCTAATGGCAGTCCATGGTGGTCCCTTCCCACATGCAGGACAGCAGGGCAGTATTTTAATTTATCTTGCAAAGGATCTTTACTGGACAAATACTGATATTTACCAACTAACGAAAACCCTAATTTGAAGATGTATTTATTGTACTTTTGTATTTACTGTGCATATTACTGCATTTGTAAATCCATAGAAATAAATGTCATATTTCTCTGTAATACTAATCTACATAGATATGCCAGGTAGGTATGCTATTTCATAAATGTTCATGCACATGTACATGAACAGTATTGGATGTTGTCATCTGCACACAATTCCCATATCAATGCCTTCCTAATATGGGATGGATTACACATATGAAATGTATGGACTGGGGAAACATTCTGAAACTCCAACATTTTTATTTAAAAATTGTTTTCCATAACACAGCCTCTTTAAAATTGCATATTTTCAGTTGAACTCATTAATGCTTGCACTGGAATGTGGAGCCAAAGAGTGAAACAGTTAAAAGCGTCGGGTCTGTGGATGTTTAGTATTCAGTGCCAGGGGCAGTGTGCTGGCACGCCGTTTACCAGGCCAGTCGGTCTACACTGAGGAGGCAGCCAGCTCCTCTCCTCTGTGCCAGGCTGTGCCATCCGCTGAGCCTGGCACTAGGGGGGGAGTGGTGCCCACAGCAGGTGGCCTGGCGTCCAATGCCGCCCCATGCCGGCGGGCAACATCCCAGCACACCAACTGGTCAGTGGATGGAGAACAGCAGCTCACGAAGACTGCCAACCTACTGCGGCCTGACACACCGCTCACATACTGCTTCGGCCTGCATCACAGAGCGAGCACAGCTGGAGGAGAGAGAGAGAGAGAGAGAGAGAGAGGAAGAAAGAAAGAAAGAAAGAAAGAAAGAAAGAAAGAAAGAAAGAAACAAAGAAAGAAACAAAGAAAGAAAGAGGCAGAGAAAGATAAAGACAGAGGCAGAGAGAAAGAAGGCGAAAGAAAGGAACAAAGAAAAAGAAAGAAAGAAAGAAAGAACGAAAGAAAGAAAAACAGAAAGCTAGACAGAAGAGGAGAAAGAGAAGAGGAAAAATAGTGTAAGCAGAGGAAAAGAGAAAGCGACTGAGAGAAAGAGATAGAAAATTGAGACAGAAACATACATGAGAGAGGAAAAAGAGTTAAAAGAGATAAACAGAGACATACAGAAAAAGAGTGAGAGTGACAGAACAAATATATAAAGAAAGAGAAATGGAGAGAAAGGAAGAGAGTAAGTGAGAAACTGAGAAACAGCAAGAGAAAAGTGAGAAAAAAACAGTGAAAGAGACAGAAATAGCGAGAAAGAGAGGAAAAGAAACTAAGAAAGAAAAAGGTACACAATAATAGAGACAGAAAGATGAAAGGAACGAGAGAGAAAGAGAGAGAGAGAGAGAGAGAGAGAGAGAGAGAGAGAGAGAGAGACAGAGAGAGAGCTGTGCAGATGTCAGTTGCCAGTGTGTTACTCCAGCTTGACTGAGGAATGGTCAGGGACGCAGAGCCACCTGCCAAGCGTGCGCGGCCAGAGGGAACAGCCAATGGAAAAACAAGCGGGGTAAAGTCTGAGTCAACTCCTCGAGAGAGTGAAGCCAAGGGAGACATACCACAGAGCAGGCTACAGCTTACAGCTCGGGCCAACACAAAACAAAAGTGTGGAGCTGAGAAGTCCATTATTCACCGCTCAGGCCAATACAAACACGCCGCAGTCCATGTTCCTCAAAAACTTTCCAAGGCACTGACCAACAGCTGACATTCATAGGCCGTAAACAAACGCACTGACATGTCCAGCCAAAACATATAAACAAATCATTTCACCTCCAAGATTTAATAGCGTACCTGCAGAGAGGAGTTTGGTTTGACCATACAGCTAATGTCCAGCTGCTTTTATTAATCATTCCCAAATGTACATTATGCAAAAATGAATCTATAAACATTTCAAGGTTTGAGGCCAATTAATTCACATAAATAAATATAATAAAGATATAATAAGAACAGTCTCCAAGAAGCCACGCTGCAGTTGTTTAATCACAAATCACTTTGGTCCAGCGCCAGTTTTTACAAAACCACTCCAACCAGAACTGTACAGGTCATATATTTCACCCCTTACTTCAATGTAAACTGGTTGAGCTATTCTTATTCCATTTAAGGGGTTAAACTAGCCATTATTACAGAAAAATTCAGCCTTATCTAGTATTACTAAACAAATATCAGTATATATAATAATAAGTAATATAAAAATAATGAAAAGTAATATAAGTCTTAAGGGAACATATGAGATCTCATAAGAAGAATACATGTCTGAAGACAACCATGAAATAATTCAGAGCTTAATGTGAGTGGGAGTGTACACTTATTAGTGTGTGAAAAAACTGAGTTTGAGTAATATTTTTAGATATCATATAAGTACATGTAATGTTTTATTCAATTACTGTTAAAACACTGGATGATTATAGGCCATGTAATGAACTGTTACGGTAGTTACTGTCTCTACTGCAGGTTTCCCAGAGTGCAATATACTGTCTAAGGAAAATTCTCAGCATTTCCTGTACAGCTTAAGTGTCCCAATGGTTATAAAATTATGAAAATATAATACATTGTGATTTCCCCCATGCATCTATTATTGCTAAATTCCAGAGTGACTCTGCTAAAACTTCGAAAAACAGGTGTTTTTTTTTTTTTATTTATTTTTAACATGTTAAGCACATGGAAGTGGCTTTAAAACTCACTCACTCATTCATACCCATTCAGTCTGAAGTCTTTCCACAAGAGGGAGCTTTCAGCATGCAGGTCACTTTGTGTGTGTCATTTAAAGAGACAGTGATGAACTGATGGCAGCAGAGGTTCACAAACGCAGGTGTTTGCAGCTGGAGTGATATAATCGAAAAATTCCAATTTCTCACTAAGGAAATATTGTGCTAATTATTTAAAAAATATATTTTAAATACTAGCTCTATGGTGCACTTTTCTGCATTGACAACAAACCTTTTCCCTAAATTTCCCCAAATAACTCCAATTCAGTGTGCAGATGTGTGGTGCGTGCAGAGAACACATTACAAGCAGTAACAATAAATATTGCCTCCTGTATGGAAAAAATAGTATACTTTAAGTATACTTTAGCTTTAGGAGACATTATTGGACTGGCGCAAAAATTTGACGATGGGTCACCAGCGGCCATATGTGGCCTCTGCCACTCCAATTGTGAGCATGCAGCTGGAGACAAAGGGCTTAGTCGAGCTTAGTTCCATTTTCTGAGCTTAAGCAGAAAGTGTCTCTAGAAGAGCCTCTCAGACCTCCAGTCTTGTAGTCCACCTGCACTGTGCAAGTTCATGTTTTTGCACCTGAGTTACATTATTAGCTAACAATCAAGTCCTTCTTGAGCTGAATCAGGTGTGCGGGAAAAGGAAAACAGAGAACTGTGCAGTGCAGCTGGACTACACTACTCACTCCAGAGCTAGAGCTGGAAAACACTGCCTTAAACATAAGACTCAGTGTGTTTTTTTTTTTTTACTATAAAATGATGTAAGACACAGGAGTTGTGAGATGTTGCACATTCAAACTCTTGATCACTGGTAAATGACAGGTGCCAAGCTAAGAGAGAGAGAATGAGAGAACAAGAAAGAGAGATAGAGAGACAGTCATTCCTTTGTGAGTCAAGCAGAACCCTGGCTCCATGTTAATAAGGCGGATTTCCTTGAGTTACAGAACAATTAAAATTGATCCATTTAGAAACTGATCTACTGCATTAGGAAATCTCAGGTTTCACCATGAATTGATGTCATTTGGTCATTTGGGTAAAGAAATAATGCACCAGCCTTTTTTATTTATAAGTTCACGTAGCCATAAAAACCAGGGCATATTTCACTGAAGCATTATAATTCATTACAATCAAATCTAAAGACCTAAAAACATTTCCCAACAAACACAGACATTCTGATGTTGTTTACTTTATACTGTCCCAGAACATGAACTGACAAACCAAAAGAACTAGTATGAATGAGGGAAACACTCTACAACAGTACGAATGGGGTAGAACATTCTAGAACAGTGTGAATTCTAAGAACGTGTGAGTAGCTAGAACATTCTATAACAATGCGCATAAGGGGAAAACATCCTAGTAGAATGTGAATAAAGAAAAAAAACTCATTATAAATAGCAGAAGATCATTCTAGGGGACTCCCAGCAATCAGCATCTAGTGTAAATATTGCAGAATATTCTAGAACTGAGTGAACAGGAAGAGAACATTAAAGAACAACGTGAATGTGGCAGAACATTCTAGAACAGCGAACATGCAAAATACTGCAGAACTGTTTGAATGGGGGAGAACATCCTACTTTCTTAAAAAAGATGGTCCTTCAAAGGTTCTTTAGTGAAGTGAATAGTTCTATTTAAAACCATGAGTTCTATATAGAACAATTTTATGCTTGAATGGTTCTCTGCATTGTGAAAAGTTTCCTTGGATTGTTGGAGAATGTGTTGTATATGGTTCTATTTAAAACCTTTTTGAAAACGGTTCTATGTAGCACCAAAAAGGCTTCTTCTGTTGTTATGATGTCAAGCTTGCAACATAAACCATATACAATACATTTTTGATCAATCTGAAGAACCATTTCATCATGAAATGGATCTGCATAGAACTCATGGTTCTAAATGGTTCTCCTTTACTAAAGAACCCTTGAAGAACCATCTTTTCTAAGAGTGTATAACTGTGTGGATGGGGAGAGAACATTTAAGAATAGTGTGAATAGAGGAGAACACTATTTTGGAGGAGTACACTACAGAACAGTGTGAAGAGGGGGGAACATTCCAGATAGACTCAACACAGGCGTGATACACCAACCCGCTGTTTGGATGTGGTGTTTGTTGGGACAGAGGGAGAGTTAATGAGGACAGTCATCTCACCCTGATTCCTGGTGCGCTCCTCTTTGCCTCAGCCTTCAGGCGTGTGGCTCTCAGAGCTGGCTTTGTTTTCTTATAATCTTGCTTACCTGAAGGATGACAGATGAAATAAACACATCAGTTCTGAGCAGAATAATCACTTGACCACTGTATTTCGTAGGGGTGTGAGGAAATATCGATACACTTTTTGTATTGCGATATTATGTTTTGTGATACTGTTCTGAATCTCAAAAACATAATAGCAATTTTTATTTAATAGTTTACCTGCAAAGATTCGTGGCAGACTGTGGTTCATTTTGTGTTGTGTTTAAAACCCCAACTCCTAGATGGCAGTGTTGTAATCTGTGTTCAGCTATTAGACTCTTAGCTGCTAAGCGGCTTAGCGGTTAGCACTCGCAAACCTAGCTGACTAGTAATGTTACCACCAATGGCTCAAGACTTAGATCAGGGTTCTTACCATTTGTCCTACCCACCAAGAGAGCATGCCCATATCATCACTATAGTCTAGTAACTAACTTATGGTTTAATGCTAATTCAGCCTTACTTCAAATAGGTTGTGTTGTCCTACTTACCCCCTAATAAGGTAACATTTTCTGATAAGGAGATTGAGTTGGCTTCCTATTCACCAGTTTCTTGTTTGAATTTTCCTGTTCCACCTTAAATGGTACAGTGATTACATTCTGCCGTTTAAGGTGTTACAATAACTGCAGCACCATTTAAGGTGGAACGGGAAAATTCGAACAAGAAGCTGGTGAATAGGAAGCCAACTTCAGCTTCATCTGACTTCGGCTATCAAAACATCCGACCTACGGTTTTATGTAACACTCTACCTAAATATGCCCTACAGTAGGACATTTCAATAAGGCAGCACAATATGTGAGAACAGGGTGAATGAAATGTGTTTTATATGGTTCTATATAGAACCTTTTCAAAAAAGTGTTCTATAAAGCACCAAAAAGGGTTCTTCTATTGTTACAGGCTTGACATTATAACAATAGAAGAACTCTTTTTGGTGCTATATTGAACCCTTTTCAAAAAGGTTCTATGCAGAACCATCTATAGCAAATTCTCCACCAATCTGAAGAACCATTTAATGATGCAAAAAACCCTTTAATTTAACCTGTATTTCTAACAGTGCAGAGCAGATTGGCATAAAGCTAACCAGCTAACAGGATAGTGCTCCAAAAATAAAAGACATGCTGAGTTGAGTTGTGACCGTAAAATATATGCATTTAAACTAGAACTGAACTCAAAATAACACTGAGCTACCCTGCTAGCTTGGTGCTAACCATAGTGAACATACAGGGAGCATTTCTGTAGAGCTGGTTCACTCAAAGCATCATGGGGCATAAGAATAAGGTGGACAAATCCAGAGCAGTTCTTCTTAAGTGCTTTGTTCTGAGTTATTTTAAACCCAAAAATTACTTGTAATCATACAGTGAATGGCTGCTACACTTCAGAGAAGGCTTTCTAACATCTTTAATAATGCTTCAGTATGACAGCACACCGTTTGTCTTCAGTAATTGCTTGAACAGGTATTATTAGGCTAATGGCTTTTATTAAAGCATAGTTGGGCTAAATGCATTCCTCTGCATTTACTTTAATACATGTTTATTCCTGCTGTGTTTCCAGGACCGTTTTTGTTTTTAACAGAAAGATTATAATATTTCCTAGAAGCCTTTAATAAGAGTGAATCTATAAAAAGTATATGCACTCACAGACACACAGAGTCGTGATTGCTCACGTAAGTTCATATAAGTGGGAGTTATAGGCAAGGCTGGTTTTTTTTTTGCGCAGTGAACCCACAGAACACAGCAGCCACCTGGCAGAGTGTGTGTGAGTTTGAGTGTTTGTCAGAGTTGCGTGTGTGTGGAGCTGTTGTGTGTGTAATCAGAAATAAACAGATGAAGGAGGAATGAAAAAAGTGGGATGGCAACAGCTTGGAGAAGAGAGTGAGGGGGTGCTGTGTGTCTGTGGCAGGCGAGAGGTCAGGCTCAAGGTGCCCTGAGCGCTGTCCACACACTGGGGCAGTTCAAGTGCACCTTCTGCCTCATTAAGACTTATTTACATGGAGTAGAGAGAGAGAGAGAGAGAGAGAGAGAGAGAGAGAGAGAGAGAGAGAGAGAGAGAGAGAGAGAGAGAGTGTGTGTCCTTATTCATCTCCAACAGCTTGCCACAGGACTGACTGCCCCCAGACGTCCATGCTAGACAGTGACCCCTCCCCAGGGACATGCAGGTCTCTCCCACCATAAGGTGTCCCTTCTGGCCAAGCAGAGGGGGGCAAGAGGGAGAGGTAAATACACAGCTACTCTGTTCCAGCCCAGATTGATGGGAACACATACTTATGGATAAGCCTGGGAGATAAGACAATAAGAATAGTAACTAAAATCAAATTTCTGACATCATTCATACAAATCTGATTATAATATTCTAACTCAGTGCGGAAGAGCTGTGTTAGTTTTTCCTGTAAGCCCACAATATAAATATTAAATAGATTACTTACTGTAATTACTGCTGTAACAAAACCTCATCTTGTATCTCCAAAATGGTCATTTTAGAGGAGAAGGGAAAAAATGTTCTTAAACTAAATTTTTCTTGTATTTTATTTTCATCCCTTCAGGTCCACTTACAGCATTTGTGGTCTATATGTAAATGAGTTGGTTCTCGTGACATCACAGGAATAATTAATTCAAAACAAGTTGTTTTTGCAGCTTGGTTTCCATATCTGGACCACATAGACTGGGGAGTGAACAGTATGTTTGGAAACTTATTACATCAAATTTCTTTATTTAAAAAAAATGAAATTCAGGTTTCTATGATATGAGCCCTTTAGTATATCAATGTAACAAGATTTTATTAAAAAGTCATTCTGGAACATTTTTATTGTATTTGTCATGAAACGTTCAAACAATGTTAATGGCAGCTTCCATGTTCAAACAGTGTAAAGAGAAAGAAAATAAAGTGAATAAAACAACAAAAAGGAGAAAAATCAGATGCTTTTCTTCTCTACAATGTTCAAAATCCACACAGACAGAAAGTCAATGTGAATCAGATGCTTAATGCATTTTCCTTCTGTTCCGTGACATACAGCCGTATGGAAAAGTTTGTGCGCCCCTGGTCAAATTACACGTTTTATTGATTTTCTAAGTGAAAATAAGTTTAAATATCCTCAACAGAGAACACGCTCTTGCTTATTTTAATGCACAATTACTGTTTATTTGCTACATTTAACATATTGGAAAAAATGAAACAAAAAATGATGCATGTGCAAAAGTTATGGCACATTCTGTATTTGGTTTTATTTTTTTTCACAAATATATTAAACTCAAATAAACAGAATACTGGATTTAATTTAATTTAATTTGGCAGCATACTTTTGCATATGCCTGTATTTCCATCTCTGAGCTAGCTGAGCATTTTCTCTTGATGAAAGGTGGGGGTGGTGAAACATGATATTATGGGTTAATATTATATTATATAACCCCCTGCTAGTGCACGATGATGTAAATAAAAAATCTGAAGACGTTTTAGAGGTGGTCAAACACTGTTTCAACAGTGCTTTGATCATTTCAACAGTGTTTCAGAATCTGTGCTAAAACAACAGAGAAAAACCTGTAAAAACAATGCAGCATTTCAGGTTTGACATTTGAACTGCTCAACACTGGCAACACTGGCAAACGCTTTGAATGCATCATCTCGTGAATCACTCACTGCTGTACTACAAATCCATAAAAAAGCAATTATTCCAGCTTCAAAGCACTTAGCCCACACCTTCAGAGATACGCGCTGCACATCATGTTCGCCGCTCATTCTCAAAGTCTACAACAATTCACTCTTGCACCTGCAGTAATTGTACATGGTGTGGAAAGCAAACCTCATTTTGTTCACAGCCAACAGGGAGAAATTAGGTGTATGTCTTATTTTTGCAGAAACTTCCTGTTGTGGTGCAAATGCACACAACAAACAGACTCAACCATCTGTTCCAAATGAATAGTTAATCGTAACCAAATCAAAGTAATTGCTCTGAGAATGTGAATAAATTGTTTATACAGTGAGGCATTGTAGCCTTGCTCCAGCACCGCCTCATGCGCCATCGACTTCTACAAGGCCTTTCTCTCTGTATTCAGCGCTGACAACTCTGACTGCTTCAGCCTTCAGGTTTCATCATGGCCATGTTCAGATTGGTCAGCTGCTGGTTTAGCAGCATCACCTATGGCATTGTTATCCAGGCTACCTCCAGCAAGACACTACTACTCCAAACAAACACAGCAGTGCTGTATAAACAGGCCAGCTCCACTCATACAGCTCTGCCAAACAGGAATGTGTCCAGAATCTTCAGTTGAAGTAGAAGATTTTAAGGCTGATTTCCCACCAGAAGACCTACTTAACCTCAAAATGTATCTCTAGTCAAGTACCAAAAGTACCTCCAGTCCAGCTTTAAATAGACCTACAATCCAGCTTTAAATAGACCTCCAGTCCACCATCAAATGGACCTCCAGTCTAACATCGAATTGACCTCCAGTCCACCATCAAATGGACCTCCACTCCAGTTTAAAATTGTGGTGCTTACAGTCCAGTCCCAAATGGATCTTTAGTCCAGCTGCAAATTGTGGAGACTCTATTGTAGTTTCTACCAGCAAAAAAGTCCAGTTCCACCATCAAATGGACCTCTTCTAAAGCCAGAAAACCTCTAGTAATGCTATAAATTGTGGTGCATCCAGTTCATCATCAAATAGACCTATAATCAACAATTAAATGAACTTCCAGTCCAGCTTTAAATGCACCTTCAGTCCTGCTTCGAATAGACCTGCAGTCCAGTCCAGCTCTTTCCTCTAGCTCCATCAAACCACACTTCAAATTACATTTGATTAACAGAGAAGAAAACACATTTCCTGTGCGTGCTGGATAAAGCACCGTGCAATTATTGCTCTTTTTAGAGAGTCCCCACGTTCTAGCAGCTCGAGAAAAGGATCAGACGGGTGCACGGTTTGTGTGTAGCAGTGACCAATTACACGCTCAATGAAGGAGTGCAGGAGGGGCAGAGAGAAATAAGCAATCAAGAGCTCAAAAACTGACAGGTTTGTCTCCGAAACTGAGGCAGGTGCACAAAGCAGGAAGATGGTAAAGCGCACGCTCGGCTCTCGCTTTCTCGACCCTCACACAGAGGAGTGCAGCGCGGCTCAGCAGACCCTTTGTGACAGGGCTATGGGCAACGTTGTTCAAAATTAAAGTTAAAAGCACCGTGATGTGTGATTGGAGAGGACAGTCCAAAATCCTGGCCAGGGGCTGGGGTGTGCTAGCAACACTGACAGCCCGGTGACAGCCCACTGTGTTACAGAGAGAGAGGGAGAGAGAGGGAGAGAGGGGCAAAACACTGACAACGTCCATCAGCAGGAAACAGCACTGCAGGCTGACTTCCACCACATGAGAGCCATTTGGCCCTTGTCTCTCACATCACATCACCAGCGGAGGGAAAAAAACACGAACACAAAAGCCGGGCCGCCTCGAGAACATGCAAGTACACGCGGCGAGTGGAGCCCGAAGTTGTTTGCCTATGGGATAACTGTTCGACAAAGCCACAGAGAGCAGTATGTGTGAGCCATCATATCTCCAGCTGAATGACCGCACGCACACTCACAGGCGATGGCTCTGCTGGGTGACAGCTCTCTACACTCCATTATGAGGAGTAATGATAGTATTTAGGGACAGTGTGTCAACATCAAGACGCTTGACATCACAAAAGCTCACCCGCTTGGGAAAAAAAGAGAAAGAGCTAAACCTGACAGGACATAAATTACCTTCCCATTGCGATTTCAAATTACGATGTGTATTCTTTCCTTTGTGGTGCTTTGTGCTATTTTGGGCGACTTTTCTTTTTGTTAAACAGCGATTCACTGAAATTGGCTGATAGAGGCTCTTTTCAAAGCAAACTGAGACTGGGAGAGGGGGGTGGTGGGGGGGTACTCTTATCGTCTGTAACCCGCTGTTATGTCTCAGAATTGATGAGATTGAAAAAGAGAAAACAAAATAGAATATGTCTGAGATTCAGAAGATTCAGCAGGTGTTCAGCTTGTTATGTTGCTTCCACAATCCTGCAGCAGAGGCACAATGAGAGAAGGTGACGGTGCACAACAAGCTAAATAACCCTACTAAATGCTGCAAAATGAGATCACATAAAATCAGGCACGTAAGACAGGTGCTCTCTGCTGGAGACCACAGACTGAGTTCTAACGTCCGTGGGGCTCAGATCACGTCAGACCGTTGTAACGCAAAGCTTAGTCACCATGCCCTCCACGAATCAACGGCATGGAGCAAAGACCTAGCCAAGTCTCGTCTGCATGTACACAATCAAAACTCTTACATTTACATTTTATGGCATTTGGCAGACGCTCTTATCCAGAGCGACATTGTTCTCATTTTACACAGGTAGATAAAGGTAGTGTTAAAAGTCTTACCCCAGGACTCTTATTGGTATAGTGTAGGATGCTTGCCCAGGTGGGGGATCGAAGAAGGCAGAGGTGTTACCCACTACACTATACCAACTCTTCAACAAAGTGGGGTAAAGCCACAAAACATGCTAAAAAAATAGTTTGAAAATTCACACAATTTTCCTCTTAGCCCAAATGTAGTCAATCAACCAGGACTTGCACTAGTGCCACAAGGCTAATGAAGCTAGCAAAGAATGGACGCTTATATTGCAATGATTAACATCAGTGGACACCACATGGATGCTCCTATTTTTGATAGGCCCACAATGCCTCCTGCTCCACCAACTCATAATCCCCCACTCCTGTAGCTAATTCCAGACAAGCTATCCAACCTAACTACATAAACATACACGCCTCCAAATAAATATGACTAGTTATGTCAAATAATAATACATTTATTCTTGACCACAAAGTAGTATAGTAAATATCAGCATGATAGACTTGAAATATATCTTAATTACAAGACATTTGTTAGACATTTTCAGTGAATCAAAAATCAACTGTTTAGAATTTCTATGTGTTAAAACTAACCCTGCCAAGTGGATGCTGTATTTCAGCTTTGCTAGCTCTCACTGTGAGTTCTTTACATGCTTCAAAATGGTGAGAAGTTACAAAGAGGATGACTAAAATAATACAGGTGTGAGTTCTTTATAAATACAGTCAATGATGATCTCTGTGAAAACGCTATGGGAATATGAGAAGATGACCAAAAGTCCATTCTACTTGAACCTCTTTGACTACATACAAAATCAGTGTTGCATTGTATCTCGTGTTAGGTTGTGCCCCGTTCCCCTACATACCCCTAGGTATGTGCTTTCTTCTTGTGAAGACTTGTCATTTCTCTGCAAGTTGCTAACTCAACGTTTATATTTTTAGAGTGCTTCTGCCAACAAGAAACAAGCTTTTGCAAGCAGACTTCTGCTTTGTGAGTTGTGATGAGTATTTCAGATTGCTGAATTAAAGAAAATTCATGAATCTCATGGTACCACATGGTTACAAGTTGTTCAAGAGGTTTCTATGAGGAACTTAGTAGTTCGTAAATGAGATCTCTGGGTTTTCTGATATATAATACCTGTAGATGTGTTCCTGATGTAGCCAGTTTTAACAGTCCTCGACATCTATGCATCTCAAAAATACATTCAGTCATCTTCCATGCTAGTTAAACAACCCTTTTCTGTCAAAGTTGGTGGTTCTTTGCCATGTTAGGCAACAAACCGCAACAGACTCTCCGTTAGTGCAAAATTAAAAAAAGCAAATTTCAGACATTAAACACGTCTTGGGGGTAAAAGGAAAATTTTAATTTTTTGTAAAATTACTTCTTGACTGTAAATTTTGTGTTCTATACTGGGAGGTAAGAGGACAACATGATGCTACTTCTTGTGAAGGTCAGAGTGACATATATCCGAGGAATACACCTGCATACAACCCAATCACAGTGACTTAAAGTCTCAAGATTAATAGCATCAAGGGTTGTGTACTTTTTGCTATGACTTCTACTCAGAGGGACCTAAGCCATCCTGTCTCTGATTTCAATTCCTTATGTTTTATTACAACCTAACAACAAACAAAAAATCAGAACTGCAGAAATAAAGAATAAAAGGGCTGCTTTCTGAATTCTCTTTAATAAAGCACTGTGTGAATATTTGATGAAGGTTACAAACAGTCATATTTTTAAGCCTTAAGGAAAGCGCACAGCTCCACAGAGGAGAAACTCACCGATCTGTTTTCGGTACTGATCGACCGGCAGCCTGGCAGCGCTCGCATCCTTCTTCCCCATGCTTTCCTGAAAGAAGAGCAGTAGAAAAAAAGGAATATATGAGCAGAGTGCAAGACAACTGCAAAAGCTAACCTTCTGTTCAAAATGTCAAATAATACCGCAGTCCTCAGGGATATATTTTGAAAGATGCCAGATACAAACCCTTAACAAAAAAGCAAGTTTTACCTAATGTACGCTGCTGTATCTACCAGAAAAAAGCACACCAATCAGCCAGAATAATTAAAACCATCTTGTTTCTACACTCACTGTCCATTTTACCAGCTCCACCTAGCATACAGGAGCACTTTGTAGTTCGACAGATACAGACTGTAGTCCATCTGTTTCTCTGCATACTTTGTTAGCCCCATGGTCAGGGCCAGGACCACCAGTGCGCCTAACTGGTAAGTGAAGCTGATAAAACAGACAATCATTATAGAAACAAGGAGGTGGTTTTAATGTTATGGCTGATGGGTGTAAGTGAATTTAAGAAAAGGAGTGAAGAATCTTCATGTGTGAAAATCTGAATTGGATGTGAGACTCCCAGAGGTTTACACTTCAAGAAATTCAGTCATGCAATTCAGTTTTCTTATACCTCCAAGCAAAATGTACAACTTTCTCTGAATTGCTGGGAGTATATTTCATGTTTTTGACAAAGGTGGGTGATTCAATTACCTGGTATGGTGTTGTATAATCTACAGATAGCCATAGATTCCATCATCTTTGGTATCATATGTGTTTATATATTATGGTTTAATTTTATTTGCAAGCCTTCACTACAGATGTAAACAGTATTCTAAGTACATTCCTTAAATTCAGTTAAAGTTCACTTTCCATGTCCATCTCCCCTGAAGGCTATTTTGATTGTCACATTGACAGTAAAGAAGCTTTCGGCCTTTCTTATTGATTTCCATAGCAACTGAGTAAGAAGCACTAGAGGACAGTCTTACATAGGCTTCTTATTTACACATGGGTGTCGGTTCAGAATGACTACATTTGTTTTACTTTTTTTATTAAATCATAAGCACATTAAGTGCCCACGAACATTCGCCAGAGCCTCAGGTTCCGACTTTACTGTGAGTCAGCCTGAGAAGCTTCTATTAAGATTCCATTCCTGCACCTCGCAATACTATTTTCAATCAATACTGCTGCCTTTGTTACAGATTGGGAAAAAGCAAGCATGAGCCAAAGGGCAGGTCTGTGTTTCTGATGATGTTTAAACCCCTCTGACCTATTCTCTCCCAGAGAAATCAAGCAGCGGACCTCTGGCCCGCTCCGCTTTGACTCATAAACCGGTGCTCCACCGAGGAGACGTGGGCAGGCAGAAAGAGCACCATCAGACTGATTAGCATTAGCAAAGGCAGCAGAGGTGCCGAGGTGCATGAAACTAGAGCATCACAAGGAGATTTACCATTTTACCCATTCATGAAGGACGGCTGTAGGAGCTGATAGCTCCCCCATGACTGCTTATGTGAAATACATCTGTAGGTATTGCAGTCATCCAGCTCTTTGTGGTTTTAATCTCTACCTTAAGGTGATGTAATTACAGCGTGTCAGCATGCAACAAAAAAACGGGAAAGGGAATAAGTGACTTTCCCAAAGACAACAGAGGAAAAGGACTATTAGAACGTTTACCCAACAGGGAAGGAACCTTGAGGGCATCCCACCCCGTACGACCAAACACTTAATCTCTAAAAGGACTGTGACCGCAGCAGGAAGGGGACAAGGGGTGCCGAATGTTCCCGCACCTTCAGGCACTCTTCCTTTTGAAGATTTAGCTCGAGGCCAGGAAACAAAGATGTTCACAGACCATGTCACCATTTGCTCCTCAAATGACCATGCATGATCCACCAGGATAAACAGACTAACACAGGTTTCCCACAAACACAAACCATTTGTTAATTCCAAACATCTTCTGTTAATAAGATTTTTCAAACACGGCACACCAAAGAACCTGCACATTCAAAAAAAGGAATGAAAACGAGAGAAAAGAGAAAAACGTGTAGCGATGAGAGAGCTGGAGAAGTTGTGGACGATCCATAAATAAGGCCAGAGTTAGCCAGAGGCTGTGTACGCTGCTGCTTTGAAGACTCAAATTGAGAGCAGAATCTCTTTAATGCTGCCCCACTACAAAGGTTTCAAAGTGAAAGAGATTCAAGATTAAAATTAGCACCTCAGGCACCTCTTGAAATAAATAAAGAACTATATATATATATATATATACACCGGATATTCACCACAAACTGTGAAAAGTTATAATAGGTCAGGCAAGCAGCCGACCAAATGCTGGAAAGAGATACAGCTTATCACTTTGTATTGAAAATTTGTTTTACACGACCCTTTCAGGTATTTGATTCTGGTCATCCACAGATAAAAAAAAAACAGACAAAAATAAGGTCATTAGTCTTGGTTTTCAGAGGTGATGCACAGTGTCAAAAGTGTTGCTACAACTCACAAGCTGGCTGCCAGTTTACACCAAGCAGTAAGTTCAGTAAAGCAGAATTCATAATTTCTACATAACTCAATAATTGAGATGTAAACAGTCATTCCGAGTAGTCTGATGTGAAATGGCACACAGCAGAGAAACTTGCACATATAGTCACTTGATTTACTGTCCAAAATTACCAGTGAAACCACGCAATGTATCAAGCAACAGATTCATAACCATTTAATGTAACTCATAACATTCTGTAAGGTTGGTTTAATGCTTCAAACATCTGAGACATCTGGTTCCTGTCACCACCACTGTTCTGACATTTCACAGCACACCACCCTGAATGACTTTGTCTACAACTTAACGGTTTAACAGAGAGTAACGGAGAGAAACGGAGAGAAACGGAGAGTAACGCAATTTCAATTACATGTACAATTACAGTACTGTACATATTGTAGTATTGACAATAAAGCTGACTTGACTTGACTTTAATTATGTAGAAAATTCTCAACAAAAAATGGTGGAAATACTCGAACAATACCAAAGAAAAATGAGAGATAGGGTACGAATTTTAAAAGACTCTGTAGCTCATTCTCACCATCTAAGCACACATTTTAAAATGAAGACTAGTGGGGCTAATATAGAAGAATATGAAGTCCACACATAAAATCAACAGTCATTACAGAGCAGCCAATGCTGTGGTCTCAACATGAAAGAAAGCACTGAGGAGGTTTTTAAGACTTTGTGTGAGTTGGTGCCATGTAAATATAACTTACAACAGGAACGTGGGTAGTCCTGATTTCAGGACTGCAACTGTTAATAGGCTAATATTAATAATAATAACAGAACGTTCTGAACTGTATAATTTGAGCGCAGTGTAGAGCCACGTGGTTTTGTTTTAGAGTGGAGTTTGTAAACCGCTGTGTTGTCACTACAGTGAATCGTAAACAGGTTGGGGTGCAAAGTGAGAAAGCCTGTGCAGAATTATAAACCAGTTCTGAGTCCCAAAGAAGCCTAAAATTATTTTGTAAAACTTAAAAATCAACGCCTGTCCTAATAATGATTTTTTATCAACCGTTGTTTCTCCCGCTCTGCGTACGTTTCAGCCTTAATTCTCACCGCGTGACCGTGTGCGTGACACAATTGGTTACATATCAACCAATATCAACATATCAACAATCTAATTGGTCGCCGTTCAGCTCATTTGCATAAGGTTTGAGAGAGACGACGCGTCAGCAGGTTGATGTGTCAGTTAGGCTATGTGTATATGTTGCCGTCTCTCGACTCTTTATAGCACTTTATGACGTCCTTTTTGATGCAAATAAATAGTAAATATATTAATAATAAGTAATTTAAAAAGGCAAATCATTTGCATGACGTCATCGCTCAGTCACATACACGCTGCTTAAAATTGCACCCTCAACTTAAAACACCTTCCCGCGTCCCTGGCTTACGAGCTCTTTGCAAAGTTCTTGTGGACTTTAGTGTTGCCGAGGCGTTTGTTTTCCCACCTATATTCCGACAAGACCCGCCTTCTTCGCTGTGACTGGCAGTATCACAGTCAGAACAGGACGAACAACAACTACAAATCTCGCCTCCTGCGCTAGGATTGAATATCGGTTAACACTCACAAGCAGTCCGCCAGTATAGAGGTGGGACTTGACGGAATACGGGTGGAGACCAAACAACGCCTTGCCAAATGCCAACACATCAACTCGTTTCCTGCGGTTCTGGTCCGACTAGAGAAAGACGGACATCAAATCCATCCAATCACAATACAGCTGCGACACAATAGCCCAATGAAATGCTGCCAAACGCCAAGACGAGGGTGTTGCTAGGCGATATTTACAGTAACGCCCCTGCAACCGTCAGCGATGTTTTGAAGAGAGAGCAGAAACTACGCTAGTCGTTCTTTGCTGCAGTTAAAAGGACAGAGATCATATCTCACAGCTAGAACATTTTGTTTTTTTAAAAATTGTTTAAATCGTTAAAACGTAGTCATTCTGAGAAGCATAGGCTTACCAGTCAGGACACAAATGAGGAGTATATTCGCTAGCTAGTTCCTAGTTCAGTCTTCGCGACCTCAGACGCTCCAGCCAATCAGTGGCGAGTTGCCGCCCACTGACTTCTTCAAGCTACAGTACCAAAAAAATAAGATTTTTTTTCTGATCCTTTAACAAATAAGCGTTCATAACTACCGAGAAAATGGCCATTAAAGGAAGTTGTAGTTGCTTTATTTCTAAAAAGTTAACCTTACAGGAGAATGGGAAAAACGTTCTTTTAATCTTTTAATCCAAGTTAATGTTACGAGATTTTATTCCAAGTAATTTTGGTCTATTTCTATTGGTCCATTTATTAACGAATGTGTACGCAATTTATTGGAAGCTGTGGTTTAAAATGGTGTAAACAAATAAACGGAAAAAATAAAAAGGTTTTAAATGGCAGCAGCGATATGTAGGCTACTACATGAGTATGTTTAGGAATGATTCACTGTTGTGTATTGATGGTTTTAAGATGTCAATGGCCGTGTCAGTCAATGCTCATTTTCTTTTCTTTTTTTTTCTTTTTTTTCCTCTTTTTTGATAAATCATGGCAGTACAAAAGAAGTAGTATAGCTGATTCAGTGGACCAATTTACAGATTTTAAATATCACAAATGCAAATATAAATGTGCTCTGTTATTCATTAATGTAGCCTGGATCATACAGAGCCATTATGAAGCCTGGGGTGGGGAAAAAGACATTATTATACCTGCAGTTACCCTACGTATGTTAGCAGTGTGAGACAGAGGGAGAGAGAAAGAGAGAGTGAGAGGTGAGAGAAGGAAAGAGAGAGAGAGAAGTAAAAAGCAGCACTGCTCCTTCTGTCCCTTTCCCTTTCCAGTTTCATCATTTAGCAGCAATTTACATTTCTTTTGTGGTGAATTTTGTCTGCGTAATTGCATCCAGTCTTATTGCTGCCTGGGGCAACATGGATTACAGAGAGGCTTTGCCACTGTTTGTAACTTATTGAAGTTAAAAAATGATTTTCCGCTCTCCAATGGGCAGCTGATTTGCGAGCAGCACAGCAGTAACTAATAGATTTAATCGTCTTATAATGGGCCTGTATAATGCAGTATTTCCTCTGTGGAGAACATCGATATTGAGCACTTTAACACCACTTTTGATGTGAGGACATGAGCCCAGTGACATTTGTAGGCTGTCTTGTAACGTCCCCGGCTGTCCTCTACAACACCGCCTGGAGCAATTTATCTGAGTGTGTTCTCTGTGAATGTTTGGTAAGATCAGCACACAGCGCAGCGACAAATAACATTTATCTCTTAAATGCAAGAGACAGTGACTTTGTGGTACTCATATGGTACAGTGTAAACATATATATATATATATATATATATACAATTCATTTAATACAATGAAATACTGATCATCCAAACCAAATACTGGATGATTACTACAAATAATACTGGGTTGTCATGAGGAGAGCTTTAGAATTTCTTTTTTAGAAGAATTTTTCCATCCAAAAATGATACATGAGTTTGTGCCGACATACATATATACAGGCAATATATATATATAGCATTTTATAAAAACACAGCAGTGTTACATGTAACACAAGGTCTCTGGGTTCCTTCTCTTTCAAACGTTCCGATAAATCATGGCAAGTGTACAAAATTAAGAACAGCAATGCTTTGCTTATCATTTGTTTTGCATAATTAATTTTCACTCATTTGCATGCGGTATCCAAATGCATTGTCAAACTGATAAATGCAGAGAGCTTAAGGCTCAATACATTCATTGGATGGGAAAAATCATCATTCACCAGTGCTTTTGGACATTAATGCAGTATTTGAATGCACTATACCACAGCAGTGCGTGATAACTCAAAATAGAATATTTCCCACAAGACTATAATTACCAAATGAAAAACTGCACTTGTCAAAGAATCCATTATTTATGTCAAGTGACAAATGAATTCTCATCAGCAATTATGATGTTGCAGTATCTTCTGAACAGTATCAAAACTGTAGTGTGTATAGCTCAGATATAGCTCAGCTCTTATAGCATTTAATAAGGGTTTGTAATCAGTACTTTTGACTTCCTTAAAAGAAAAAAGATTTCAGAACAGTGGAGTAGAGGAAATACATCAAATGTTTTTCTTCAGCTAAGATCATCATGGTGATGTTTGATGGTAGCCTTACATTAGCCTCACATTTAGAGTAGAAAAGCCAGACAACTGCATATGGAGCACATGGGAAAATTTAACTATCACTGCTAATCCATCACATACATTGTTCAGATTCATTTAGATCATTTAAATTCTCATGTTTTTCCCCCAGTTATGCATTAATGATGGTAAATGATGGTCAATGAAAACGCGTTGCTGATAGCTTATCTTCAGCACTCATCAGGATTCATTCTCCCTTGCTCTCTCTCTCGCTCTCTCTCTCTCTCTCTCTCTCTCTTTCTCTCTCTCTCTCTCTCTCTCTTTCTCATGGGCCTTAATTGTAAAGTTAAAAGTGTGCAAAAAAAGGAAGAAACCACCAGGGTGTTCAGGCTTCAATGAAATTTAAAAAAAGAAGAAGAATCTGTTCATCACAGGGCAAGACTGACTTCTGTATGTCCATCAGTCACTTCACAGTGTTAAATACCACAAATAAGTGTACATCATAACCTATAAAATGTTATATATATAAGTAATATTAATATTGCTTTACAGGAGGATGACAAAAACTACTTAACTTTCAAAGTACGATAATGTAACAAGATTTTATTTGAAGTCATTTTGGACCATTTTTATTGGTCTTTTTCTCATGAATTTTGACACAGTATAAAGGGCAGCTAGTATTTTCAAATTATGTGAAAAAAAAATAAAAAATGTCAAAAACAGAAATGTGCTGGAAATATAGTTTTGTTTCCATTGAAGACATGCATGTTCCATGATGCTACAGACATTTTGATCTTAGGGCTTAAGCTTAAGTGTTAATAGGATTTGTTTTTAAGATAAGTATACATATTGAAGTTGATGCCTATGCAGGAAGTTATTTCTAAAATAAAAATATATCATTTAAATAAAAAAAAAACATGAACACACAGCCAAGTGGTCTTCATCAGTAATAAGATCTTAGTATGCCTTAGTAATCTTCAGTCCTGTTGGAAAATCATCTCAGGCGGATCCTCATGAAGCTGATCGAGAACGATCAAGAGAGTGTAAAGCTGCAACATGATAATTGTAGATCATTTCTAAAATAATCTATAATAGAAGATAATTTAACACTTTGTGGCTCTGCATAATTCCATATTTCACAGTATTGATGCCTTCACTATTATTCTAAGATGTGGAAAACAGTGAAAATAAGGAAAACCCTCGCTGGTAGATGTGTCCAAACTTTTGACTGGTACTTCATGCACACATTCCACAGTGAGTGCTTTTAAACGTGTTTAGTGGCCGTGTCATTTTTTCTTGATAAATCAGAGAGAAGCTGTATGGCTGTAGCACATAACCACTGCTGTGGATTATACTTGTTTCATACTTTCAATAACTTTAATAGTGAAGACTTTTTATTTGTCTTTCCTCTGTCTTGAGAATTCAGTGCTTCATCCTCCACACTAATGTGCTCTGTTCTTATTCCCACCTCAAAGTTATTGGTGTGGGGAGCGATATACGAACACATCCTCCTGTTTAATATTCTTATCTTCCCCCCGATGACATGCCTTAAGTCTGTGGTGAATTCCCCAGCTCTATCACGCCGCTACAGGGGTCCCTCGCTGACAAAACCACAGATAGCTTCAAAATGAATTTGGGCTCATGAGATGCACTGGCTTATAAACCGCCTCTCTGCTGATAACTGCTTATCTGACCATAAAATTTGTCCATTTCACTTTACTCATTATCAGCGCGCTGGGATGAAATGCATGGCTCTGAGTACATCTGTAGCATAAACCAGCCAGCAGCATGACTGACTTCATTGTGCTACGTCTTTGTTTTACTCCCACTTCTCACAAACATTACCAAACGTTATCATCGTCCCTGATAATCCTTCATGATTTTGTTTTGTCCTTAATAATTGGAGCTGTAAATACACTCTTAAGAATATATGTACCAAAAATGTTCGTTGGAGCAGTGCTGTAGAAGAAACACTTCCGGTTCCCTAAAAGAACTTTCATTGTATGGTTCAAAGGTGCTATCAACTCGATTGCAAATATTAAAAGTATCTCACTGATCTCCTAAAGATTTGTGACTTGATCATTAAACAAATAAAATTTGAAAATTTAATTCCTGAACTAGCTTCAAATGGAATTAAAAGATAGCAAAATGTAACTAATGGATTGTGGTGTAGCCATGGCAATGCACAGCAACCTCCAGGTAGTTTTTTCACTTTTTTAAAGCTTTTATTTGAGATATATTGTAGTCATATTGTAGAAACTTTATGTTTAACCAGGAGTGACTATGGCAGCCATGGTGGTAGGAGCTAATGGCTAAGTAGGAATGTTGCCAATCCTCCAAACAGTGCTAGCTTTTGCTAAAGTATGTAGCTGTGGCTATGTGGATGATAGACAACAAATTATTTGAGCCATTTTAGCACTAGCTAAAGTATACAACTGTGGCTAAGGTAAGTAAACAGGCAATTTAGTTGGATAGTTAG